CTACGGTCGCCTCCGGGGCGGGACGTTGCGAGAGCGGCGCGCTCATGCACAGTTTCGGCATCTTCCTACAGGGGCTGCTCGGCGTCGTGGCCTTCAGCACGTTGATGCGTGAGTCCGGGACAGCCTCTCCTCAGGCCCTGCGCTGAAAGCCGCCGACCCTGCCCCGCCTCGCCCCGCCCCGGAGCGAGGTCAGGCGTGGGGACCTGGGCCGTTTGGCCAAGATTCCTTCCTCCCCGCGAGCCCAGGCTAGGCTTTCCCAGACTAGGGCTCGCCGGTCCCTGGCCCGCCGTCCTGGGTCCTGCCCCTCACCACCTTGCCCTGTCTTCTGAGATTCCCGTCTAACTTCGTCCCCTTCCCACCTTTTCATCACAAATGAAGGTTAGCCCGCGTAACAGTGTGGAGCTGTGGCCCCCGAGAGTGGCTTCCCTCTCTGTCCCTTCTCAAGGGTTCCTCTTTAGCCTTTCCTTTTGCGCTTTGAACCCACCTCCCTACAGCTGATGTGATGCTGTTTGTTTGTTTGTTTTTGCATTTTCACTCTTCAGAAGATTTGCATTCTCTTCTCGCATTTGAATCCTGCTACTTTGCATCCCTTGCGGTTCCTGAAGTATATTAGGTTCCCACATTGTTTTCTGCGACCACCAGCCCCCGCCCGTGTTTATTTTCCTTTCGTCTTAGCGAGACCCACCCAGATTGCCCTCTCCCCCTCACCTTCTCCTCTCCCCCTTCGTCCCCAGCAGGACCACCTGTTCCCTCGCTGTTTCCCCTAGCTGTTCCCTTTCCCATTCCACTTTTATTATGTCTAAATTAAGTTTTCTTTCCTTTTTTTTTTTTTTTCCGTGAAACTCGGGCAACCTAATGACTTAATGGAGAAAGAGACCCAGAAGGTCGAGGGAGGTCTCAGAATCCCCATGCTGTCACCAGGGGTGCTTCCTTGGGAGTTGTAATGAGAAGTCGTCCCAGAAGGCCCTTGTTGCCCAGTATGCCAAAGGGGGAGGGGTCTGGAGTGGTGTGGGGTTTGTGTGGGAGTGTTGTTTTCTTAGTAGACATCCTTCTTATTAAAGTCAGTAGAGGCGTGGTGTGGCACATAGATCCTGTGGTTGTGTTTTGAGTGAAAATAAGGTATAACTCTGCAAAAAGCATTCATTCCAAAATGACTTGTTCTAAAAACTTCCGTGTTGGGTTCGTGGACAGTTTCAGCAGATTGTACTCCTGGGTTGACCCCAGGGAGGGCTCAAGCAGCTGTGTGCAGATGTTTTATAGGTCTCATTACCTTGTTTATAATGAGGGTTTTTGGAGGTGAATTTTTTTAGGCTTTGGGTGACCCTAGAGAGGTTCTGAACTTGGACACTGCTTTTTTTCTGGTTTTCTGGCCTTGTTGAATCCTGCAACAAGTGTCCAATTTTTGCGTTTGCCACTTTTTTCTTTTTAGTCTCTACTTGTCTTACTATTTTCTCTGTTGAACAACTACTCACTTATTCCCACAACAGGCCGGGGATTGAGCTCACTGGTTCCGCCGCCTGCCTTGCAAGCACAAGGACCTGAGTTCAATCCCTGGTACCAAAAAAAAGAGTAAAACTTATTCCCGCAACAATTTGTGACAATTTAGCCAAATTCAGTTGCTGCCTTGGGAACATGTATTGTATGTGTATGTGTTTTGAAGACATTGTGAATAGGCCTTCACTCCTCTCCCACTTTCTTCTCTCACTTCTAGCGAGTCTTCTTTCTCTCTGGAATACTATAGATTTAATTTGGGAGTCGAGGGCTGCACGGAATTGAACTCAGGGCCTCACACGTGCTGGGCAACCTCTCTACCACCAAGCTGTATTCCTAGCTCTTGTTGAATTTTTATCTTGTTTCTTGACCAGAGATTCTATAGCCTACTTGTTAGAGTTTGTGTCTAGATGTCCCCTCAAAGCCACATGTCGTCGGTCATAGGTGGAAGTTTGGATCTAGAGTGTGTGATGCTGGGATCAAGGGTGTTTGATTGCTAAATTAGTCTGCTGATTGGTTTGGCATAGTTCTAAGAGTGGCTAATGGGAAGGCCCACCTTGGGTATTAGTGTTACCTGCCCTAAGGGTGGGTAACCTGGATAAAATATAAGGGACAGAAAGAGTGTTGTTGCTGGTCACTTGCTGCTTCTTTGCTACTTTACTACCTTTGCTGCTTTCTGCCTATTGTGAACTGTTTCACTCTGTGATGTTCCTCTACCATGCCAACCCTGCTTTGGCTCCAGCCAAGTATGGACTGAAGCCTCTACAAACTGTGAACTGATATAAACCTTTCCTCCTTAACTTTGGGTGTCAGATATGTTGTCTTAGCTACCAGAAAACTAAGACGGTAACTGTGGCTGTTTTCATGGGTTTGGTGTTGATGGCCTCCTTAATCCCCTCTAGAGTTTGGCACTTGTAATTCAGAGAGGGAAATTATTATAGGGCAGAGTTGCTCACTGCTGAAAGGTGTGCCTGATTGAATGTGTTCAGAGTACAGATACTTCATATCTTCAGGGATGTTCTCACCTCTTTATTCACTCTTCAGTGTTAGCATATGTGCAAATCCCACTGTAGTTGGTGCTTTCTCTCTACAAAACCTGGACAAGAAAGTAGACTCCAGAGCTGGTTCTGCCCTAGACCCAGAAATGAAGATGAGATCGAGCCCTCATTACCCTACATAGACAGAAACAGCAGGCCAAGGTGATGATGGCCTGTGGAGCTTCCAGGGTCCCACTAGTGGGACTCAGTAGGGAAGTGCCTTATCACTGAATTTCCATGGTCTGGTTGAAGTAGAACTGTGGGGCTTTTCCTTCTTGAAGAGGCTGCCTTATATATTGGAGTAGACTTTGCTGGGGAAGTGGAAGGGGAGTGAGGTAGTAATCTCAAGGAAGTTACTCTGCCGCTGTTGGGGTCCCGTCTTCCTGGTCACAGAGCCTGCTTTGTCAGTCAAGCCCAGCTGCAGGAGGTAGAGGGACAGGCTCCTGGATGAGAGTGTCCATCTGAGAGGAAGGGCCTGGTTTGTTAAGATGAGGCCATACCATCCTTTACTATCTTCAGGCACAGTTTAAATGCCAGTCCTCTGTTCTCAGCACTTTAAACTAACAACCTCTGTCCTCTTTGAGGCCATAGTGTTTCCTCTTCCAGGTTTGCATCCCCCATGGCATTGAGTCAGTGCCTGTCTTCTTGGATGCTTCTCAGGTCTAAGGGCTGGAACTACTCTGTTTTTCTGCTAGACCAGCTCCCTGTGCAGGTGATGAGCCCCCTTCTCTGCCAGACAAACTGAATAATTTTCTTCACTTCAAATCCCCGATTTCAGTAAATCCTCAGATGACAGTGTTTATGCACACACACACCCTTAACCTAGAAAACCTTACTCCCGCCTTACCATTGCTTCACCTTTAAGTTGGGATTTTTTGTCCTGGAAGAAGATAGCACATAAATCTTAACAGTCCCAAGGGAAATTTTGGTTCTTGAAAGGTTTACCACCCTGGCACTCTGAAAGATTTCTTGCCTTATATGTGGGGTTTTATAGATGCAGCCCAGGCAGTTGTGTGCACATATGCCAGGTCTTGTATGTAACCTACTTTTCAGTCTGTGTGAACATGCAGACTGTCACAGTCTACTACCCACTGGCATATCCTCATGTCAGCATCACCTTATTAATTAAGTTGGAGGCTTTGCAGAGGTTCCAGCGGAGGAGCTGTATGTGTTCAAGGAAAGCCAAGCAAACTTAAGGCCAGCTTATTAGGTGACTTCCCACTGTGAGTATTCTTGGATGTTATGAAGTGACTGGTTGCCTGCGTAAAAAAGAAACACTAAATGAGAGGGCTTGGTTGTACTCTGCCTGTCAGGCAGTTTGTTTCTAGTCTGTGACTCAGTGAAGCCACTCAGACCAGAGGTGCAGCAGAACAGAGATGAGTAGCGCTGGAGCTCAGCAAGTTGTTCCAGTGTGGAGAAGTTGCTGAGCTGTCAGCCAAAGGTCATCATTGGCCAGTGTGTGTATTGGCATTTGTGGGGGTTTACTCTCACAGCTTGAGAATGCAAAGCAAACTCAAACCTTCTTCACCGTCCAGTCAGGGTTCTGGGTTGAATTGTGGAGAGAATTGGCTTTTAGCAAAACAAGCATTTAAGAGCTTGGGTAAATCTGCCTGCCTCTTTTCATGTCACCAGTGTAGGGACCAGCAGGCTGCCAGAAATCTGTTGGTGTGGTACAGGAACAGCTAGAAGTGACAACCTTTTTCCTGTGGCCCAAAGTAAAATCGCAAACAGGTCTGTCTACCTTTCATACCTTAATCTCAAGTAAGAATGCCTGGTGTTTTCTGTCACATTGAGCTGACTTCTCTGCATCCTCTGTGTTGGCACAGCCTTTTCTACAATCACCATTCCCATACCCCACACACCCCAACCCAGTTTTTATCTCAGAAAATGTCAGACACACAGGAAAGATGAGAAACAGTACAGAGAACATCTGTCTGCCTTGTACCTAGATTCAGTGATTAATTTTGTCACATTTACTTTATCTCCTTTTCTTGTTTCTTTTTTGGCTTGGCTATTTGAAGGACACTTGCAATCAGTACCAGATCACATGTCAACCCTAAATACCTCAGCTTAGTCTACTAAGCACAGTCTCCTTCGTACATAGCCACAATCTCCCATACAACCTAAGAGAACTAAGAATATGGTAGGTCCATGATATCACCTAATATACATTCCATAGTCACCTTTCCCCAAATATTACAAGTCTTTTATATCTAGAGTTTTAAAAAACTGGTCCAGTCAAGGTCCATACATTGTATGTTTTTAAGTCACTTTTGCTTCTGGAAGAAACACACACACACACACATGCACACACTACACAGACACACATTTAATTTTAAAATTTTATTTTAATTTAATTTATTTTATTGGTGGTCTGCTAAGCAAGTGCTCCATCACTAAACTTATCTCCAAAATGAAAAGACTGCAGGAGGCCTCAGCAACAGGACCCAAGCTCAACAGGAAAAGCCCCAACCCAGCCCCCACCCCACCCAACCCCATGCTTTGGTTTTAAATACATTGACTCTTGCAAGAGTGTTGGTTGAGGATAGGAAAATTGTCTCACATTCTGGAAATGTCTCC